ACTAGAAACAAGTCACTAAGGACAGCCCATCTCAAGGCAAGGGGAACTGGGTTCCGCTGAGCAGAGGAGTATTGAGGAATTGGTGGACATACTTTAAACCACCACTGGGTTTGGAGTGCATATTATTAAAATGCCTATTCTGATTGACTAGGTCTGGGGAGGAGCCCAAAGTTCTGCATTTTGAACATGCTCACAGTTGATAGCACTGCTGTTGGTCATGGACCACACTTTGAGTTGAGAGGGAATCACATATGCAAAGAAAGATAGCTCAGATCACGTCTTTGGAACAATACTGCTTGCAAGAATAACATCCTTTGTCATGCTGGCATTCTTTGGATGATGTCCAATTTTAAAATCACATTTCCCCTGAAAGGTCAGAGCAGTAAAGTAAGGGAAAGACAAGATTACCTTGTTAATACACGAGGACAAGCTGTAATGAAATAAAAAACAACCAAAGGGAGAGCCATAAAATCTCTCTGGTCTTGTTTTGGAAGCTCTCAAGCATTAAACATCAGCCATCAATTCTGAAGGGGATGCTAAACAAACAGCAACAAATCTGGGCTTTTAATAAGGATTGTGCAAAGTGCCTTCATATGCCCAAGATTCCTGCCTGCAATACTTACAAAATTAGCTCTGACATGAGGGCAATAAATACCACCAGCATTTCAAAGATCAAAGAACAAATACCACCGGCAGCGAGATCCAAAGGAGAAGGAGAACAGCCTAGGAGGCCATTTTCATAGCAGTTTTGCAATTGCTTAAGATATTTTTTATATATATTTTTATTGATTTCAGAGAGGAAGGGAGAGGGAGATGAAAACATCAATGATGAGAATGATCCATAGCTGCCTGCAACCTGGGCATGTGCCCTGACTGAGCTCAATCACTGAGCAACACTGGCTAGGCCTTAATAACATCTTGATCCTTCCCTCACCTTGTCCTTTCTCCTCTTTTCCTTTTTCCTTCTCCTTCATTCCTTCCTGTCTTCCTTCCTTTAAATGGGCGCCTACAATGTATTAGGGACTGGGAAAGATTATTTGCCCTCAAGAAGCTCTTGGTCTTATATAGGAAAGACATAAAATGAGCATTTATAAAACAATGCAGGCATGAAGCAGTCACTGTGTAGAACAGTGGTTCTCAACCTTCCTAATGCCGCGGCCCTTTAATACAGTTCCTCATGTTGTGGTGACCTCCAATTTCACTGTTACAACTTGAACATAATTAAAGCATAGTGATTAATCACAAAAACAACATGTAATTATATATGTGTTTTCCGATGGTCTTAGGCGACCCCTGTGAAAGGGTCATTCGACCCCAAAGGGGTCTCGACCCACAGGTTGAGAACCGCTGGTGCAGAAACTTGGCTTTTCAGTTGTTAAACAACTACACTAAACTACACTGCAGGTGCCTGTTTGTAATCTAGCACTAAAGAGCTGAGGATCTAAATTGTCTTTGACCTTTCTCTCCCATGTTTAACTTATTGCAATTATCATCAGAAGACTGATTGACTTATCACATAAATTAAACTCACTCTTGCTCTAGGAAAACAGGACTAAACCAAACTATCCTGGTGTCCACTATTCTTCAAAACTGGACCCCTTGGAGGCAAGTCATGCCTCGTCAGGCAGTGCTGACTAAACCCAGAAAGGCAAAAGCCTTAATGCTGTAATTCTTCACCACAAGAAGCTTAAAAGTGTAGGCCAGGAGTCCCCAGTCCTGACTCACATTAGAATCACCTAGGAGCTTTGGAAACCATTCTGATCCTGGGCCCCACTCTAATCCTGAATTTTTAGTTTACCACCTGGACAAAGCTCCTCAGGACATTCTAATGTGCAGCCAGAGAGGAGAATTACTGATCTAGGTTTTTCATAAATTATTTTAAAACTAGAGGCCTGGTGCACAAAATTCATGCATGGGGTGTCGGGGGGTGGGGGTGTCCCTCAGCCCCCTCTCCATCTGGGACCCCTCGAGGGATGTCCGACTGCCTGCCAGCCCAAATGCCCCTAGCTGTCCTCCCCTGCCAACCTGGTCACCCCTAACTGCCCTCCCCTTCTGGCCTGGTCGCCCCTAACTGATTTCCCCTTCCGGCCTGGCCCCCCGCAACTGCCCTCCCCTTCTGGCCCAGTCACCCCTAACTACCCTCCCCTGCAGGCCCAGTCCCCCCCGTTTCCCTCCCCTGCAGGCCTCGTTGTCCCCAATGCCCTCCTCTGCTGGCCATCTTGTGTCCACACGGGGGTGGCCATCTTGTCTGTTGGAATGATGGTCAATTTGCATATCACCTCTTTAATATATAGGATGTGCAAATCACATAAGACTTCAACACAGTATGAAAAGTTTAGTCCATTTTGGTCCATTTTTGGTAACAGCCCTAAAGAAAATTATTATAATGCAAATTCACAAATAATTCACAATTTAGTATATTCTCCAGTGGAAGTAACCTGCCTTCAATCCACAATTCAAAATAGAAACAGTGAGTCTTCCACTTACCTGATGAACTTGACAGCCTTGCTTTGTGTCAAACTTAAATACCCTTGTGTTTTCAATTTCCTCTTGTTACCAGTAAACTCAAATTTTTCCTTTAGATTCCTATTACTTTCTTAATAATTTATTCTTGATGTTTTAGGAAAAAATTAGCTATGGACCAAACACTGACCAGCTTTGTTTGCTGAAATTTGAATGCACCTGGTGCACTGTCAGCCTTACAGCATACACAAAAATCAACCCTGGAGAGTTTTATTAAAAAACAAACCTCTTGCAGTTTAACAAAACTCATATAACAATATTATAACCACAAAACTAGCATAAACTGGCCTTGTTCTGTTCCTAATGAGATACTAAGTTGTTTTTCAGAGTTAGCAGAATAAGACTGCAGACCATGTACTGGAATAGTAGGACAACACGCTAGAGAAAAAATTTACCCTGAAATAACTTTTCAAAGTCACCGGGTCAAAATCCACTGTGGACTACAAACCCCTACCTGCAAATTCAAACATTCAATTCAAAAGCTGTGATTCCCAAGCACCTGCGTCCTAGGCTTTTATTATGTTAAATCAATGTAACTCTCTAAATATGCAAAAATTCCCCTGCTCCTTCCTTTAACTGTAGCCCAAAAATCCTCATGGGGAGACAGATCTGAGCTCACCTCCAGTCTCATGGCTGGTGGACCTCACAATTAAAGCCTTTTCTTTTCTCAAAAGATGACATCACAGTATTGGCTCCTATGCATGTGGGACAGTAGCTCTTGCTCAGTAACAATATTGTGCATTTCCTTTCTACCGATATCACTTGTTAAATTACTATCATCTTTTATAGACAGGGAAAAGTGGTCATACCTTAGAATCTTTCTGACAAATATATCGCTGCACTGCATCCAGCCTGGATAACCTTCTTCAGAATGGCATATGCTGGAGCCTGTTACAGACAATAGCAAACCAAAGAAACACATTCTATGTTCAGTTTTTAAAAATATATATATATTTTTTATTGATTTCAGAGAGGAACTGCCTCCTGCACGCCCCACATTGAGGACTGAGTCCGCAATTCAGGCATGTGCCCTGACCTCCTGGTTTACGGGTTGATGCTCAACCACAGAGCCTCACCGGCTGGGCTATGTTCACGTTTACTTGTGAAATCTACCTGGCAGGACTGAGACTTATCTGGAAAGAAATAAGATCTAAGAGATAATCCATTTTAATTTGGGGGGGTGAACTATTCAAAAGATCAGAATGCCTCTGCTACTGTCAAAGCACCGAGTCATCTGGTTTCTCACTGGAAAGGGAAAAGAGGCTGCCAGGGAAAATGATAAGGAGGAAGCAAGGAGATTCCCAATTGGGAGCTTGCTCTTTGTCATTTTGTTTGTTTTTGTGTTTTTTTTTAAAATATATTTTATTGATTTTTTTCAGAGCGGAAGGGAGAGAGATAGTTAGAAACATCGATGAGAGAGAAACATCGATCAGCTGTCTCCTGCACATCTCCTACTGGGTATGTGCCCGCAACCCAGGTACATGCCCTTGATCGGAATCAAACCTGGGACCTTTCAGTCCGCAGGCCAACGCTCTATCCACTGAGCCAACCGGTTTCGGCGAAAACTCATATTCTTATCTAAGAAGAGAGGGGTAGATAAACTTTTCCTATAGAGACAGAAGCAATACTTGAAGCTTTGTATGGTCCCTATCATATCTACTCAACTCTGCCATTGTAGAGGGGATAGCGGCCATGGACATGTGAACAAATGGGTGTAGGTGTGTTCCAACAAAACTTTATTTAAGGAAACAGGTGGTCAGCCACAGGCCGTAGTTTACCAACCTGATTTAGGCTTTTAAAAAAGCCAGGCCTGCCCTAGCTGGTTTGGCTCAGTGGATACAGCCTGTGGACTGAAGGATCCCTGGTTCGATTCCGGTCAAGGGCACATGCCTGGGTTGCAGGCTCAATCCCCGGTAGGGGGCATGCAGGAAGCAGCAGATAAATGATTCTCTCTCATCACTGATGTTTCTATCTCTCTCTCCCTTTCCCTTCCTCTCTAAAATCCATAAAAATACTAAAAAAAAAAATAAGTTAAAAAAGCCAGACCTGTATCTGTTCCCTTACCTGCCGTGGAAAATTATCTGAGAGTGTCTTTCATTTTATTTATTTTTTAAAAATTTAAAAATTGTTATCTGTTTTTTAAAATCTGAGGGTATCTTTTAGTTCATTTATTTAATCTAAATAAATGAAGGGTTCGTGCTAACAGCATTTGCTCAGGACCTACCAATAATCCAGAAATGGGGAGAATATAGGTCCGGGCTCAAAAGACATGGGGTTCTGACGTCTGCCCAAGCATGTGACCAGGGCACACGGCTTCAGTTCTTAGTACCTTAGTTTGCTTGCTTTTAAAATAAGGTGCTGACCTATATTTCTAAGGTCCCACCATTTTCTAACATTCTATTTTTTTTTCGTCTTACCAAACTGCATATCTACCCCTTTCCCCCTTTATCAGCCCCTTTCAGAGTGTAGTCAAATACCTGAAGAAGCTCCTCATATTTTTCAGGATCCTCCTCCATCAATGTCCTGATCTGGTTGTTGTAGTGATGTGCTATGGACTCTTCCACGGCCACAGTGCAGGCCATCGCTCCTTCCCTCCCAAGCAGGGCGGTTCCTGCGCCTGGAATTGTCAGATCCAGAGCAGTCAAGGATGGGACTGACTCCACTGTTAAAGGAGAGCACTACGGACTCTGGGGCTGGATAACCAACCCCTTGTTGTGAGGGCTGTCCCATGCATCGTGGTACGTTTAGCACCATCCCTGGCCTCTACCCACAAGATGCTGGTAGCATTCCCAGATATGACACCAAAAATGTCTTTAGATACTGCAAGTGTCCTCAAGAGCAATTTGACCCCATTGAAAACCACTGTTTTAGGGGGTACCAGGTTAAACCTTGACTAATGCAATAAGAAGGCTATTCTCTTTCAATGATCTCCCTAACCTGATTATGGCAAGGAGAAAGTCGTCATTTGGGGTGTGTCTTTGATTCTCCTATACCATTTACTTTTCTCCCTTGTTAAGAGTGAGCAGCTTTGCCAGGAAACATTATCTGGCTACAACTGAATTAGTCTAGCTTTGTTTCCCCCCCTGTTGTATCTATTTTTACTGTACCTTTTATTTACAAAACTACTGATTTTGAGAGTCTATCTTAAATAAATTTAAGCAAAAAAAAAAAAAAAAAAAGTCAGCCAATTTAACTTTAGAAAAATATTAAGTTAAAAAAAAGGCCGTAGAAGGACACAGCAAGAATTGTGAAGTGGTACTTAAAGGATATGTTCATCTCAGACCTTTCAGCTCCCATAAGCTCTTCTGGACAGACACGCACCTAACGCAAACCCCACCACGTTCCAAAAGGGCATCAGAATCGTCGGCCGGACCCTGAATGCAACCATCAGTTCACTGAACTTTTTCAAGTGGTCCTTTTCTTGATCCCACATTTTCTGTAAGAAACATAACAATAAAAACATGTAGGCATTCCATATAGGCCTCCACTGTATCCCAAGGAAGCTACATGCCCTATCCATGATCCATGATTCTGGCAGAAGCCCTCAGACCCACAAAGTACCAAAAGCAGTGGTTCTCAACCTCTGGCCCTTTAAATGCAGTTCCTCATGTTGTGACCCAACCATAAAATTTTTTTCGTTCCTACTTCATAACTGTAATGTTGCCACTATTATGAATCATAATGTAAATATCTGATATGCAGGATGGTCTTAGGCGACCCCTGTGAAAGGGTCGTTTGATCACCAAAGGGATCACGACCCACAGGTTGAGAACCGCTGGCCTAAAGGATGAGGAGCCATACTCATAAGAAATGAGATGTTTAGCTCATTTAAAATTAGGAGGGCAGAATATTAGGTATCGTATAATTTCCTTCCAGATTGCTAGTATATAAGTATCATGTATATCAGAGAAGGGTGGATGATAATAGCAGCTAACACACAGCACTTCCTAACTGCCAGACACTCTATCAAATAGCTTAATGTAGGCAACTCATTTAACTGCACAACCGCTTTGTGAAGGACAAACCATTATTATCCCCATTATACAGATGAGGAAAGTGAGGCACAGAGAGGTTATGTAACTTGCCTGAGGACTCAGAAAAGGCACTTTAACTTATGCTGAGTGTCTGTTACATGCCAGGCATGGTATCAGCTGCTCTATACCAGCCATTTATTCCTCACCAAAACCCAATGAGTAGGTGTTATCAGCCCATTCTGCAGATACGGAAGTGAAGACCTAGAGTTTATGTGACTTCCCCAAGGTCACACAGTAGCAGGTGGGAGAGAGTTGAAATGTGAAGCTGGGTCTGTGTGAGTACAAAGCCAAGGTCTCTCCTTTTGCTCCTCAGTATAAAATATCTCCGCTGGGCTCCAATGGGGGCCAGAGTGCAAGCTCTCAGCAACTGGTACTTTTACCTAAACGTGTTTCTCAACCCTTTTTTCTTTTCTTTTTTTAAAAAATATTTTTTATTGATTTCAGAGAGGAAGAGAGAGGGAGAGACAGAAACATCAATGATGAGAGAGAATCATTGATTGGCTGCCTCATGCATGCCCCCTACTAGGGATCGAGCCTGCAACCCGGGCATGTGCCCTTGACAGGAATCAAACCCGAGACCCCTTCAGTCTGCAGGCCGATGCTCTATCCATTGAGCCAGGCCGGCTAGGACTCGACCCCTTTTTCATTATCACCCACCCCCACTATAAAAATTTACTACTACAGATATACCATATTATCTGTGTATGTACTAAACTAGAGGCCTAGTGCACGGATTCGTCCAGGGCATGTCCAGCCCGTCCCAATTGGCCAGATCCCAGCAGCAAGCTAACCTACCAGTCGGAGCGTCTGCCCCCTGGTGGTCAGTGTGCATCACAGCGACTGGTCAAACAGTTGAACGACTGGTCAGACACTTAGCATATTAGGCTTTTATTATATAGGATGTCCATCTGTGCTCTATACACAGAAAGAATTAATATCCTTTTCACTCTTCTCTCCCCAATATCCAATTTTCACTCATTCCCCTAAGAATACATGACCTAATATGATTCATTACTTGAAAGCCTTTGGGTCCCCACCCCCATAAGCCCTGTTCAGTAGACCAGGCTGAGAGATATAAAGCAGCGCCCACCTGAATGACTGGCCCGACACTTGTGCGACCCAGGACAGCCATCTGCCCTGCATAGATGCGGTTTGCTCCATATTCACCTGCATGATCCACACGGATAATTCGATCCACAGCTGCCCGATTGATACTGTCTAAAGTCATTCTTGAGCTGCAAAATCTGACACTGATTCTTCTTCCATAAGCTGCAATGCAAGTGTTTATTCTTCATTACTCTCAAGTAAAATTGAGATGTTTCCTTTTACAGACAGAAGAAAGGGGCACCTTAGAACAAAGGTAACAAGTGAGTTCCCCTAGGGTGACATGCCCTTAAGTGTATTGTTTATCTTGAAGTATTGATTTTTTAAAAGAAGCGAATGTTACCTACACTTAAAAGACTTTAGCTAAATATCTGGATTTCTGGCTTGAGTGTATGAAGATAGGGGAATGCTGAATCTGACTTCTCTTAAAGCAGCTGATGTGGCAGCTGGCTCTAGATAGGCATGGTTCTCTAGTTCACTCACCGCTCCGGGCCCACTTCGTTCCCAACCCTGACTATCCAGAACCTTCTAGGGAGCTTTCAAAACCATGAATGCTCCTCCCCAATTGACTTCTGGAAGGGGACACTGATATTTTGAAAAAGCTCTGTAAACGAATCTTCTCTGCAGCCAAGGTTGAGAACCATAGATTTAAATTCTCTTAAAATACCCATTTCCATGAGCATCTGATTTTGAGAAATAAGCCTTAGAACTTAGGTTTCATCTCATTATGGTACAGATCCAATTCAATTGAATAATTCTTGCCTTCAAAATGTAAATTCTGGATGTGAGGGCGATCTGGCTGCAATATCTGTCACCCCATTGATCGCCAGGGTTGATTCGGCTGATCTGGCTGGCTAGGCGGGTGTCCCCCTCCTCCCTCACCGATCCACGTGCATCCCTCCGGAAGCTGCGCGCTCAGTCGAGGAGTACGACCTTCCCCCGCCCAGGAGAGGACCGGTCTTAGGTCAAGGGTATACGAGTAGCTGCGCTCTTCTGCTAGAACCTCCAAACAAGCTCTCAAGAGAAATTTTAAAAATATTTTGAACAAAATGAAAATAAAAATACAACTTAACATAGTTTGGACAAAGAAGTGAAAGCAGTGCTCAGAGGGAAATGTATAGTAATGAATAAATATAATGGCCGTCCCTCCCGAAGCTGTGCGCTCAGTCGAATAGGACGACCTTCCTCCCCTCCCCGCCAGGAGAGGACCGGTCTTCGGTCAAGGGTATACAAGTAGCTGCGCTCCCCTGCTAGAACCTCCAAACAAGCTCTCAAAATGTAAATTCTTCAGGACAGATTAGATATTGTCTTTAAAAATTTGCTGATAGTGACACCTGGATTTGTATTCTGAGCCTCATATGGCAGCATCCTAAAAGTTTTTTTCCCTGAGAAGAGTTTTGTAATGTTTAGGTATGTAAGCTGTTTTTCAGTCCATTTTGCAGATATGGAATGGAGACCCATAGAAAATATTTAAAGTGAACTTTAACCTGTATTGGTATCACCTTGAGATGTGTTCCAAGCCTTATGTATGACAGCCATGTCTTCCTGTCTTTAATAGATATTTTTCATTTAGTCTAACACCCAGAAAATGTGTGGAAATTTCCATTTGGGGTACATCTATAGTTTTTTCATTCAAAAGCTGGAGTGCTTTGGACACAGGTGATGGGGTAGGCCTGGTGGGATTTAGGGTCAATTATTCTGCATTTGAACTTTTTGGCCAGGTGGAGTTTAAGATGCCTCACTAAACACAAGAGTGTGGGTGGGCACGGAGGTGTGAAGCATGGTGACCCAGCTTTGGTCTACTCCACTGCACAACCTGCTCCACCTCACTGAGCATATTTGACTCGAGAAACTAGACTCCGGTTCCTGCACTCCAAATTCTGCCAAGTATAATGCACTACTCAGTTCTGTGCCTTCTGACAATGGGTCAATGCTAACTGTGGCCATATTTTTATGTGGAGAACAATTTTAGACATTTGATAAAGTCAAGGTAGCCTCTTGCAAGTTTCTGCCTCCTACTCCAAAGACTGGTGCTTTCATCAATCTGATCTTCTTATAGAAAGTCTAGAGGCCTGATGCACGAAATTCATGCGAGGGACTTGGCCCTCACAGCCCCGGCTGCCTCACGGCCCTATGGCCCTGCCCACTGGTCCTTCTAGAAGGTCGTTCTGCTGCCCGGTCTAACTAGCATATTAGCTCTTTATTATATAGGATTATATAGGATGGGGCAAAAACCTGACCCAGGAATTGACACTGAAAATGATGAGCTAGCTCTACTTCTCAAATTAATCTTGTTTGCTTGTTCTTTCTTTTGTTACTCCCACCCCAAAACATGTCAATGGGAAAGAACTTTACAGACATCCCAGTACTCATTAAAAAAAAAAACAATACACTTTTTAAAAAGTACATAAGATGAATTCCAACACACAGATGAATTTTTGTGGGTAGGATTATATTTAGATTAAAAACATACTAGATTGTTCCCTAGACCTGTACCACCTTTCCAGATTCAGACACCTAGTAAATGATCTGGGGTGAGAGGTAACATGGAAAATTGAGTATCATAACATTTGCCATTTCTATCTTTTCACAATCTCTGCAAGGTGTCTTTACTAAGCATGAAGGGACCTTAGAAAAGGCACAGAGCTAGGGCCAAAAAATATGTGTTTTGTCTCAAAACACTAACTTTGCACAAATCAGAATTGCCATTTCTTACATACAAATTGGTAATAATCAGGTTATTACCCTTTTAAGGGAAACATACAATAACAAAACCTTTCTTACTGAGTTACCACGAAGATAAAATGATACAGGAAGCAAGGTAACTTTATAAATGAAAAAAGATTCTTATTCTGTTATGCCCATTGGCTCAACAAAGCAGCATTACAATCCACGTTCAACAATCCTATGAGTTTTGCCTGTATTGTCACACACTTTAAAAAAATAAATTAAACTTGAGAGCCAGTGGTAGCTCTCAAATGCATCGTTTTTATATTTGTGTTTTCCAAAGTGTGAAACATATACCAATAATGCTACCCAGAAGACTTTAAGTGGTATATGGGAAGATTTTACATGGCTTATGATCGTACATTAAATAATGCCCATGTGGTAAGAGTTATTCTCTTTTAAATTCTCTTCCAATCCTTTTGATTTAATCAAGGACACTGGTCTGTTTATAGCTGACAAATCCTAACACTTGGTAATCTCTCTTTTAAAAAAAATTTTAAAATTCTCACCCAGGGATATTTTTTTCATTGATTTTTACAGAGAGTGGAAAAGAGAGGGAAAGACAGAGAAATATCGAAGTGAGAGAAACACATCGATTGGTTGCCTCATGCACCGAAGTGCCTGCCCTTGACCAGAATCGAACCCGGGACCCTTCGGTCTGCAGGCCGACGCTCTACCCATTGAGCCAAACCGGCTAGGGCTAATCTCCCCTTTTTTTTTTTAACCAGGAAAAGAGACGGTCTCGGGCTCAGGCCTTGGTAGGCCACAGTATCTAACACAGTTTAATAACTTTTTGGTTTCAGTGTATTATGATTAACTTGATTAGGGGCAGGCAATTCGGGTCTTCTGTTTACCATAAGGACTTAGTTTCCCTGAAACGATTTAATTTAAAAATACAATATGGTTATAAAATATATTGAATAATCAAAAGTACATGATTTTGCTATGAGGCAAAATCCCTAAAGTGGCACACGAACGACTTCACTTGCAGGAAGCGACCTCCCCATTCTCCGAAGAAGCTCAGGTGAACCGAGAAAAGAAGCCAGGACCCAAACCCAAGCCTCCCTGCTCCCGACTCGATGCTCCTTCAACTACCCGGGTGCTTCTCAAACTTCCTACTGAAGTACACGGTTCCGCCTAAGAGCGTGTTAAAGTACTACCGGCTGGCAGAGCGGCCCAGCAGGTCCGTGAGGGACCCGAGACCCTGCGCGTCTAACAAGCTCGGGGTGGGGATGGAGGAAGCGGGCGCCGGTCACGTGACTGCACTCTGCCTGACCAGCCCCGAGGACACGCCGAGGCACTGAACTTTCAAAGCCCTCAAGTGTCCTCCGCCCGGCGCTCCGACACCCGCAGTGACGTGACGATACAGGTGTGCCATTCCCCAACGCGCCAACCCTTAGAGGCCGCCCCGGAGAGTCCCTGCGGAGAACCATGCCCGCATCCCGCGGCGCACTAGCCGTCAGGGCCCCCTAGCCGTCAGCGCCCAGAGTTTCAAGTCTCGAAGCCGCGCTCCGTCGCAGGCCTATGACGTCATTGTAAACTTCTCCCCGTGACCTCGCTGGTCCAAACCCCAGGCGAAAATCCCCGGGCTTCCCCCCCAGCGCCGGGCCGCGGCCGCGCTCCCACTTTACCTGAGAGGGGTCGCGGGGCACCGGAGCACAGCCGCCACCCGCAGCCAGACGCCACCCACCGGGCGCAGCTCATTGTCGGCGACAACAAAGCAACGACCCCCTTGAGCGAAGCGGGCCCAACGTGCCCTTAGCGCGGATTGATGACGCAAGACAGACGTAGGGAAGACGCTGCCCCTATCTGCATCGGTGGTAACGCCCCAAGGCCCCTGCTTCTATTCGATTGGTTGGAAATCGCAAATGAAAACATTCTATTGGGTGCAGTTGCTATCAATCACTTAGGGGTGGCGAAGGAACCTTGGGTTGCCATGGAGGTGAGAATGCTAAATTGCTCGTCCGAAGATTTGATAGGGTAAAGATTTTTAAAATTACATATTTTTTTTAATTTTTAAATTACAGTTGAGTACAATATTATATTAATTTCAGGTGTACAACCCCGTGATTAGATATTTATTTGACTTCTGAAGTGAACACCGTAATAAATCTGATACCCATCTGATACCATATGTAGTTATTACAATATTGACTGTATTCCCTATGTTGTACTTCATATCCCCCTATTATGTAACTACCAATTTGTACTTATAAACCCCTTCACCTTTTTCACCCCCAACCCCGTTCCCATCTCCGACAGGGTAAAGATTTCTCAACTAAATTCCTGGAAAAAGGACTATGAGTGAATTAATTTATTGGCATAACCATTGTACTTTGTGCTTCACCAATACGGAAAAAGATTTTTCTCCATTTTTATCCTACATCCACTTCAAAACTAGAAATTACATGCTGAAATTAAGTTCACCACATGGCCAAAAGTGTTCTCTCTAGGTATTGGGGCTAACAGACTACTTAAAATTTCTTTCTACTTATTTTCTCCATTTTAGATTTTCTGCAGAGAGCACATATTATTTTTGTGTCCACTTTATTGTTGGTAAACAAATGGGTGCCAATTGGTTTACTGGGGTTTGGGATGAGGAGAGGAGATTTAGCCACATATACTTTTAAAAGTGCATTCCAAAGTACATTTATGATGCTTCTATCTCTCTCCTCCCTTCCTCTCTGAAATCAATGAAAATATATCTTTTAAATAAAGAAAAATTAAGCAAGGGGATGGAGTAGTAAACAAATGTACCACTCTGGCAGGAGATGCTGATAATGGGGAGGCTGGGCATGTGTGGGGTAGGGGGGTATATGGAAAATCTTTGTACTTTCCTCTCAATTTTGCTTTGAATCTAAAACTGCTCTAAGAAATTAAGTATTTAGAAAAAAAATTGTTGGAAATGTTTAAAAAATGCATATCTATTGATAAAGTAATCCTACTGTTAGGACTACAGGGCATTATGATCCTTAACGGCCATTTGTAAGCTTCCCACCATAGGAGAACAAAAGACCAGGAAAACTTGCTGGATACCAGGAATCACACCACATAGGGAATTGAAACTATTCTAAAGACACCTGATCGCACACCTGCATTCCAAGCCCACCAGCTCAGCCCCCAAACCCACTGACGACAAAAGTTTCCTGCCAGCGACTGCCTGTAAGGATGAAACTCCAGCTCCAGAGTACTACCATCATCGACCCAATGTCCTCTTGGCTCGGTGCTGTGCAGCCCTTCCCTTTCGCTATCCCATCCTCCATCCCCTTTCCTTAAATAAATTCCTTTTTTCTTTTTTAAAAAGATGTATTTTCATTGAGGGAAGGCGGAGAGGGAGGGAGAGAGAGAGAGAGAGAGAGAGAGAGAGAGAGAGAGAGAGAGAGAGAGAGAGAGAGAGGGGGGGGGAGGAAAGAAGGCATTTCCCCTTGGGAAAGGCCATGAGTATGGGATGAGAATTCTCTCTCATCGAGCTGCCTCCTGCACACTACACTAGGAATTAAGCCTGCAACCCAGGCATTTGCTCTGACTGGGAATGAAACTGACTTCCTGTCTGGGCTGTTGTTTGTATAATTAGTGCCCTTTTACTATTTACTAGCCAATCTGCTCTTACTCTAATCCTCTATTAAAATCAATAAATTTTTATATTAAATTTTCCTGTTCAAATTACTGTGTGATATCTCTCTCATGATTGGACATTAACTTATGACAAAAGTTTCCTGCCAGCGACTGCCTGTAAGGATGAAACTCCAGCTCCAGAGTACTACCATCATCGACCCAATGTCCTCTTGGCTCGGTGCTGTGCAGCCCTTCCCTTTCGCTATCTCATCCCCCATCCCCTTTCCTTAAATAAATTCAATATCTCTTTATCTACAGTCTAAGATGGCTAGTTAACCTGCCCACATACCACCATGTGATGATGATGAGAGAATCGATGAGAATTCTCTCTCATCGAGCTGCCTCCTGCACACTACACTAGGAATTAAGCCTGCAACCCAGGCATTTGCTCTGACTGGGAATAGAACCGTGAACTCCTGGTTCATAGGTCCTTGCTTAAGCACTGAACCATGTCAGCTGGGCTCGATTTTTCTTTATCCACCGTCTGAGATGGCTATTTAGCCTGCTCATGTACCACTATGTTAACCTTTCACCTACTTCTAGGCACCTATCCAATGAAAACAATGTTGTTGTTGTGTGGTTTTTTTAAATATATTTTATTGATTTTTTACAGAGAGGAAGGGAGAGGAATAGAGAGTTAGAAACATCATTGGGAGAGAAACATCGGTCAGCTGCCCCCTGCACACCTCCCACTGGGGATGTGCCTGCAACCAAGGTACATGCCCTTGACCGGAGTCGAACCTGGAACCTTTCAGTCTGCAGGCCAACGCTCTATCCACTGAGCCAAACCGGTTAGGGCTGAAAATAATGTATGTGAGGGTTTGAGTATGTAATGTATGTATGTGAGGGTAAAAAATCAAAGATGTATATCTGGGAGGATATGTAACAAAACATTTATGTTGATAACTTCACAGCGTTAGTATTGTGAGAAAGGGGCTATCAATTTTTACTTTACGCCTTTATATTACATATATATATATATAATCTTTTATCCAAGTAACTATAAAACATGTAAGGAACACTGCTCTTATAAAATAATTGAATTTGCTAGTTGTTTTCAAATCACTTTAATACACTGCAGTCATTAAAAATTGTGATGAACTAATATAGTTTTTTAAACCCAAATACTTATTGAAAGTGAGAGTGATATAACATTCTCATCTAGAGCTCCTAAGAGTGTAAATCTGGCTCTCAAAAGCATTAAAATGTTCTGAGTTTTGTTGTAATCCCATTTCTAGGTCTCAATCTCTAAGAAGGAAAAATGTTGACAAAGATTTATATGAATGACTCAGTTATTATCAGGAAAATTTGGAAACAAAATGTTAAGTAGCAAGGGAATGTTTTTAAAAATTATCCGTATGATGTTACTATTATGTAGCCCACTGAAATGTTTATAAAGAACTTTTGATGAAAGAAGAAAACTTACGTTAAGTGAAAAAAGAAATAACATTTTTTTTTCTTCTCATTCTCCTTCCCTCCCTTTGTACTTTCTATCTAAAAGGAATTTTCTCAAGTTTAACAGTGGCTATCCATAAATATTGCCTATACATGATTTTTCTCCCCCCGCCACCTGCAGCTTTCAATGTTCTCTGCATTTTCTATAATAAATATTTTTACAATGAGGAACAAAATTTCAAAAAGAAAAGGCATACTTATCCCTAATTCAATCCTCAAAAATAAAAGTGATTGTATCTTATTTTTCTATTTAAAGATAAGTGTTAGGACAAGAAAAAGGCCTCTTTTTCCTTGCTGTAGCCTTCCACAATTTATGCGAAGTACCTGGTAAGTAAACCCCAAGATTGTTAGCTGCTCCGATTCAAAGAGCCCCTCTGTCCAAATGGCTGGACAAGATAAGCTACTCTCATGGCAACATTCTACACCCCCATATTCCCACTGTTTTTACAACCCAGAGATAATTAATTCTCACCAAGGAATCTCTAGTTCCAGGGTGGGGAACCTTTTTTCTGCCAAGGGCCATTTGGATATTAATAGCATTATTAGAGGGCCATACAAAATGATCAACTTAAAAATTAGCCTGCTATTGTTTGGTCAAACATTTAATTAATTCAGCCCTAATGCCTTGGCAGGGCCAGACCAAATGATTTCTCAGGCCTTATATGGCCACAGGCCAGACGTTCCCCACCCCTGCTCTAGTTAGAAAGTTCCCTTTTCCCCTCCCCTTCAAACAAGCCTCTTTGGAACTCTTCATAACTTTTACTCTAAGCATGTTTTATAGGCTTGGGAAAAATACTGATAAAACACCTCCCTAGGACATCTGCCTGGACTTCTCCTGAAAAACAAACTACACTCCCCCCACACCTTAATGTCTACTCAATTTCAGCCCCCCAAATCCTCCTCCCTTAACACCTAGCAACAGCAGCCATTACCCTTTAAAGGCGGAAACCATCTTTTGTTTCTTGCCTTTATTGATTAGCAATGAATGCACTAGCCCTTTCCCTTTGTGAAAAGTAAAATAAACTCCCTCTCACTACATCTATCTCTTCTCTCAGTTATGAATTCTTTCACAGCCTGTGTCACTGGCCACGCCTAACAATAAGGGAATTTTATCCCAGAAAGATGAAGATACCGGTACAAAATCACACAATTAAGCAAATAGCAAAGCCATGCCATGTCCCAAGCACATCCCATGCACTGGAAAGAAAATACACCAAATGGAACTGACTAATAAAGCCGTACCTTATATAAAGAAGGTACATGCAGAAGTTCAATCTTATTTTGCAGTGCTAACCTAGAAAAATCAAGTCCTTCTCCAACACTTACTTGCATTTAGCTGCAATCAGATATGTAGCTGCAGGGATTTAGTTGGTCAATTTACAAGTTAATCCAAACTAAAAACTTCCCTAATTGGGTTCTTCTCTTTCCTGGATGAGAATATTTTGTGATTGTAAGAATGTGCAAAGCATCCTTCCAAAAGAGTCTGTAGCAGAATGAGGCAGAACAAAGAAATAAAGAAATGCTGGGTGGGGAGGTGGGGGATTTTAAAATTCTAGCTCTTAGTGTTTTTAAGGGGTATGGGTTGAGGGCTAAAAACAATCTAAGTGTCCAGAAGAGAGCAAATCCTTATGGAAGCAATCACTTGTTAGACAGTACAAGGGTCTCAAGATTAGGAATAAAGTTAGGGTGGTTCTTAATAAATGCTCTTCTTATTAAACGT